TGTTAAGTAAAAAATAAAACCGACTTTGTACGAGGAAATGTCAGTTTTTGCTTGAAATGTGACTCAAGAATGCTGATTTTGTTTGGGATTGCATTTACGAGAGTATCGCTTAGTTGGAATGGTGTGAAAGGGTATTAAAAAGAGGTTTTTAACATTGAAAGTTACAACCTTCACAATTTTTTGCAGGGCAGACTTCTTGTGACATTAGTGGTCTTTCGCATTCATAATGAAATTTGAACTATCATAGAGTAGACTAGTAGTACGGTTGTACAAAAATAAATTGCTTTAAATGTTTCTTTCATCGTCATCACTTTGAGTTTAAAAGTTAGTTTATGATTATTAACTACTCTATCCGCAGTGAACTTGTATCGGAGCCATTTGTTAGGATTTGCAATGTTTCTTAAAAAGGATATTGTCTAGAAAGTGTTAGTCAGTATCTAAATTTAAGCCGTTCTACTGCTTAACTTCTTTAGTTTCTCAACGGTAACCGAGTCTACTATTAGGTCATTTTAGTAGGCTTTAGTTATTGCTGCTACGCTGCAGTTTCGAGGTTTAAGCAACAAATAATAAGCAGTAGAATCATCAATTCTCTCGTTACTTTTAGACACAATAGAAATAATCATTGAATAAATTGAACTCAATAAAAACTTGGTGAAGCTTTGGATAGATTTCGATTATCAAATGCTTGAATAATATAAACCTCAAAGACATTAAAACCATTATCATACATCAATTTTTAGCTAAAAATGTTTCTTAGTAGGCTCAATATTTTATACAACAACAGCATTGTACTTCTGATTGTAATTTCAGTTGTTTTTCAAACTCCATTTTCTTTACAGAATGGCATACTATAGCATTAAAATTTTTCATAAGAGTATTGTCATCGTAAACAGCTGTAGTGGAGAAGGAAGACAGTTCACGTGTCTCATTCCCCAGCTAAGTTTAATCATATCAATATGACAACTTTCGCAATAAATTTGAATGCTGGTTTATAAATATTGTTTTGTTTTTAAGCAATGTGCCAACAATATTCGATACTCTTTAGAATTTCTGTCAATTTGTATTATCAGAAAACAAGTCGATAACTGAATCTTTTATATTAAAGTTGACTTTTTGAATAATGTACATGAAGTTATGCAAAAAAATTTTCTTGTGTAAAAGCAAACTGATTAGGTTTTTCGTGTTATCCTTAAGCCGCATATGTGGGAACGTTGACAGATGACTGAGCACCAAAGAAGGACTGTTAGAAATGAATAAACTGTATAAATGAGTCAGTGGGTTATTGAAATGTTAAAAAAATTTTGTGAAGTATATTACCATTTATTATTGATATGACAAGCCTACGAAATTTTGCAGCAGAATCAGGCTCAGGAGCAGATCGTTAAGCAACCTTTCCGACGAGATCTTCAACAACGAATGTCTCCACCTCCAGGCCCCCCTCCTGCACCCCCCCCTCCTCCACCCCCTGTACTCTCATCCGTAAGTTTTGTTTTTTAAATTTTTAGCAAAAAAACTATTTATTTTAGCTTTTAAAATAAATGTCTTTTTTAGACGTCGGTTTTACCATCTAGCAGGTGGACATCATCCTATAGTGAGCGAGAAGTCCGCACTACCGTACCTGGTATAGAATATTATAGTAATTACTTGTAATAAAAGTTTAAATTCTGATTGGAAACAAAAGTGAAAGTGAGCTGATTGACATTGTCTGCATTGACATTGCTTATTTAGTAAAAGTTTCAAATTTTTACTTACAGAAGTTCTATTTAGAATTTAATAAGAAAAAAAATGTTGAATTTTTTAATAATTTGGCGATTAGTTTAATTACTGCTTTTTAAATCAAAAAATTATGTTAATATAAAACACTTTTTAACTTTTTTTGAAGTTTAATAGAAAAAATGTATTACTGTAAAGTGACTGCTGCTAACAGCGTGGTTTCTAATTTGAAATTAATACTTGTTAGAATTAGAGTATCTATTTTTTTATGTCTAACATCTTTCAAACATCGTATGGCACTTCTGCAAAAAACTTTTTAACTACCGCATTTTTGAGACTTTTAAGTAAATTTTAAAACTAGTTAGCCAACAGAACAGTATTCTTTCGATTAATTTAACTATTTTTTTAAAAATTTTTTTGTTATGTGCTACACTTTTTTTTAGCCAAAATGATTTTACAGATTCAGCATTTTTAAACTAAAAAACTTCGCCCGCGACAGCTGTTTAGCTATACCGGATTGCTTTTATGATGTTCGCTGGAGATGCTCTAGCATTGATAAAGTTTTAGTTAAGCACTAGAATGAAGCCAAAGAATAAAAGTGAGATATACAAAATGCATAATAGTTTTTATCAGCGGTCTGAGGTTTTTGAAGGGCTAGAGGATTGGTTAAACAACACTAAATTACAGTTGCTTTAGAAACTTGGAAAAGTTCAGTACTGACTCTCTTTAAACTTAATGCAAAATATTTGTGCTTATTGGGAGAGACCTTTTTTTCTACTTTGACTCTAATCACCTGACAGCTTTACTAGCGTATAAAAAACTCCTTAGGAAGAACAAAGACCAAATAACTTATGCTAGCTTAAGTAATTTTACTTAAATGCTGTGTCCTTATCTAAACTGGTAACTGCCAAACTGTCACGGTTAGGTTTTTCAAGAAAAATTTGCATTTTAGTTTTGTGTAGTATTCAATGCATTACGTATGGGTGTATGAAACTTTGAAACACATTTATGGTGTTTTTGGAGTTGTTCAGCAGCAAACGTTTTCACTGAACTTGATGTTTGAATTGTTTTTCATGGTACTATATTTCTGTAAACTAGAAGAGGATTAACTGTTATGAGCAGTTTTTTATTTAATTTTTTATTTGATACTTGTTTACTTGTAGCGCCGTCCCAGTCCCCCGCTCCCGGGTTGGACGCTCAGACATTACAGGTAGCTTTTCACGTTTTTATTATACATTTAACTTTTTGTATTATCACATAGATATTTTTAGGTTTATCACAGTTTTTTGTTATGTTAATTCTGTCAATACTTTCTGTTTAATTGCTCTTTCTTAATATAAAGTTTAAAATTATAACTATTGCCAAATTGCACCTGAACACATGTTAGCTTTTTTTGCTTACCAAATTACATCCTCTTTTTGTATGAACCCTTAGGATCTTTGACAGAAAGGAGATCAACAAAAATACTGTGTAATATTGAAAAGAAAAAGCTTTGTCTGAATTTATTGAGACATTATTTTGTAGTGGTGAATGATAAAATCAGTCTTATATCTAAAAAGCATATTAGCAGCAGAACTTTTTGTAAAAAATAGCAATAAATGAATTCATTCCACGTTAATTTACGATTTTAAACTAAGAAAGAAAACAAATTTTTTTCTAGATCAACAACACTCATTTATTTTCAAACAAATTTTGAGTAGAGCAATTTAAAAACATTTTTGTGTTTTAAACCAATTGCTTTAAATGCTTCTTCTCGCAGCTGATATAATAATGTTCGCATCAATGACACTGCATATATCATTTGATAAAGCATATTTTCATGTTTCTAATTCTGCTTTTCTGCCAAAACCAAAGTGATCATCGGCAAATTTTTTTACCCAAATATTTTAAGTTTTAAATGGAGTCAGGTTTAAAACATCGTAAAAGTCCCCAAAATCAAATGGTTTGAGCGAATTTCTAGCAGCACTTTTGGAAACCTATTAACAGCGATGATCTGGGTTTCTTTTGCAGCACGCTGCCGCTGGTCTACGCAAGACCCAGTACAGTAGATCGCTACGCGTCGACCAGCCCGGTGTACCCGATGGATATGTGGAGTCAGAGGATGTACGATTGCCTGGACGATATTGGACGAACAGTACGTTCGATGAGGCGTTGGAATCAAATAAAACCAGAAAAGCGGTATGCTAGCAAACTGTTCCTGTGTTTTAGATGCTAAACTAAGCTGAAAATAAGCAAACGAGCACAAAAATGCATATTTTGGTTCTGCTGTACGAATCGTCTTGGCAGGCATTTGTAGACTGAAGACCCTTACATAAAACAAAATGCTTGTTTTCAATTTGTTTCTAGAAATGCACCGATGACTCATCGGGCAAAATAGGCTTAAAATTGTTTTCAAACTTGCTATTCAGATGCTGTGAAGATCTTTTGTCTTTGAAGCAACATTATTACCAGAATTTTTCAAGAATTCCCAGCCGTTGCATATACTAACCAGTTTACAGCTATAAAATTTTTTTCAGTTTCATGCTCCGTCCTATGGTACCCGTGACACTATGCCGGTCAGCAACTACAGTCGATATTCCGATTCGGTATACTTATCTTTCTTTTCCCTTTTTCCGTGCTCTGTTGCGGTCTGCGGCATATTCAAGAGAACTAACCTTCTGCAGCTAATTAAGAGAAAGCTAAAAGATTCTGACTTTTTTAATCACTAAAAATTTACTTGGATTTATATGAGATTTTTTATATGCACAAATAAATAATAATTTACCTATTTCTTCTTCTGATAGTTGACGAAATAATTCAAAAAAGACTTTCTTTATTTTTGTCTTTTGAGAAGGGACTTTAAAGTCGAGATAACCTCCAACGTATGATGGCAGCAAAAAACCAAATATGTGTAAATTACTGTACGCCTTTGACTGCCATTTTTTTGCGATTATACTAAAATAATAAAGTTAACTACGTTTTAATTGCTCATCGCCGGATGTTTAGCTAGCGATTTTATGATCTTTAGAAGCAGTCATAGCAATTAAATAAAAGTAAAAATTATGCGACGAAAGGAGCAAACTGTTTGGATGTAGAACCCAGTAATTATTTCTTTATTACATTTTTAAGTATAATAATTTGCTTAGCAAATACCAGCAATTTTTTGATGGTAAATAATTGACAAATAACCAAGCTTCTTACTTTTCCTGATAAGAAACTAAATGAGTCGGCGAGAAGAAAATAAACATAGTCTTATGCCTTAAAAGACCTTAGCTTTTTTTTTTATCTTTTTTATAAAGAGAATTTATGTTTAAGTATTAAAGATTCTTAATCTTTAATGAACATTAAGATGTAAAATCATAAAACAGCTGAAAATTCTTTGGCGCATAAATTTTTTCACTTGCTATTGCACTGAGAAAGCGAAACGACAACCTTAATCTTTATCAATGACTATTTTTAAATTTTTCTGTCAACTTTTTGAACTGTTGACAGTACCATCAAGAAGTGTCACTTAAACTGCATTTTCCTTTTGTTTCGCGGTAGTTGCATTACCAATTATGGCTGTCAACGACTTGTCTCGTAAGAATGATAAATTATCAAAAAATTCAACATGCACAACAAACATATGCCGAATTAGACATCTTGATTCTTAAAAGAACTTTTATTTTAACACCTTACCAAACGGCCAACTCAGTTCTGGAAAAATAGGTTTTTGCTTATAACTTTTTTAAGCCTATCTAAAAATTGCGCCGTGCAATCCAGCAAGCTGAAAATGGTTAAATTGGAACCTTTTATGCCAGTTTATCCCTTATAGGCTCCGGCGATCACTGTATGTCGGCCACGTTACTTACTATTTGACTGTAGTTTTTTGGTGCTGTCAGTCTTGTGGTCTTACTTGATCTGCCCACGTCATTGAGATTGATTCACTTCAGATTCCTACTGATGTGTTACCGCTGTTCCCAATTCCTGTTAAGCTATTTTTCACAGAGAGAAACTGCACACCAGCTTTTTTACTTGGCACTGTCATTAAGAATTAATAAGAACCTGTTGTGAGAAAGTGTTTAATTTCAGCTTCAGTGGACATTGAAATCTAAACAGAGACAACTGAGTTTGAGGAACACGTAAAAAGTGCTCTCTGCTGCATCCATTATCTTTGAGTTTCTGAATTTTAGTTTTACTTTACTGTTTGCTCCTAAAAAATGTGTTGTACTTCTCCTTTTCAGTTAAATAATAGTAAACCAGAGCGGCCAAAAGAAACAACATCATATTCATCATATTACAACCAGTATTCAACTTATCAACAAAAACGGTCAGCACTTTTTTTTCGCTTATTTTTTCCTCTCCAATTGTTTAGGTGTCATTTAGAATAGCAAGTGATGCTAATTTTTTTTCTTGTAGAAAACGAAAAACTAATGAATGCAAGTGTGACATAAGGAAGCTTTTTTACCTTATGTAAAAAAAAAAGCTCATAAAATGGATTTTTTTTTTTTGTTTTTTTGTTTGTCTGACTGTCTGTCCGCGCTCACGTTCCTTCGTTCGTTTCTATTCATTCATTCACTTTTTGAGAACAACAAAGTTGAATGGACAAAAAAAAACATTCTTTCACCCCGCTAATCACTTAAAGATAAAATTTTGCCTCGTTGTTGCTGTGAAAAACTCAAATTGGGTTAACATTTTCTTGCTGCTCAGCTATTTAAAACTACTCATGTTTTGGGTTTAGAAACAAAGGCTATAAAACAATTGTCTCTGCTTTTTGTCTCACAAACACTTCTCCATTTGAACGTTTCCTCAAATCCAACTGAGTTTTCGCTTCCAGTAGAAATTCAGAAAACTCTACGCACTGCTGTGCTTTGTTATGTTTTGAGCGTCCCGGAGTCTGGAAAGCAACATGATCAGCAGTGAATAGGGCAATAAGAGGCAGTTGGAAACTGAAACAAAATTTCCGCCGTGTTGCTGTTGTTTCTGTCTCTAATATCTAAGATGAAGCAATCGTAATGAAGCCTAAGAAATCTTTTGTCTTCCCCTTGTTGGGTTAAAAAGGAAAAGGACAGAGGGAGAAAATAAATTTTAAGAACAATCTGCGAAGAGCATCAGTTTGAGTTTTCAATGTGTATTTTTAGTCCTTTTATAGTTAAGATCCGTAATTGAGATATACTATGTAAAATAAAACTTTCACTTACTATTCAAATTTAAAAAAACATTCTCAAAGCTTTCTTCTAAAGGAGGGAAAATAAAAAAAGTAGGGCAAATTTGCTGCCTTAGGACATTTGCAGTAGAAAGAATGAGGTAAGGTGAGCAGTCAATAATTAGTAACTTTAATTAAGTAGGATCTTAATAGTGCTTATTTCTTTGTTTTTTTTACCGTAAAGGGTTTCTCATTAGAATTATTTGATGCATAATAATTAATTTGCCACTGTAGATGCTGAGTACTTAAAATTGAAAGATGAACTGAGCCCGTATTCAAGTTTTTTTATTCGTTTGTAATTCGCAAAAAAATGCTTCTGTTAGCGTAAAGATCTCCTTCATAGTTGTTCTAAAACATCAGAAAGAATTTAAAGACAGATTTTTTTCACGAAGTTTAATAAACTTTTCGTTTTAGTAATAGTAATGGTAATGAACCGAAAGACATATCACAACATTACATAACTGACCCGCAAGCAAAAATTCGAGAATACGCTACGCAGACTTCGGCGTACAGTGTACCAGAAAAACCGGCGTCTGAACTTTATGAGGAACATATTCGTAAACAGAATCCTCAATATGGGAAACAAAGCAAGAAACAGGACGATTTTATCAGGGAACTTAGGGATCAAGGTGCCCACCATTAATTATCTTCCTCAGATCTTTACTGCACTAACCGGCTGTTTTGCCTTAGGCAATACTGCCGTTTTCCAGCAACCGTAGTGGTTAGTTACTTTGTTAGAAACGATTACTTGCATCAGTTGCACTACATAATGTACAGTCAAAGAAAGTTAAGGTTTGACACGAACTCAGCGCATTGCAAATCAATTTCAACAGCCGGAAGTCAGGAACATAAAACCGCCGGCGTCTTTTAACAACGTCGTTGAGGTGAATGTCATTAGACGTTCTCAGTGGAACTCAATATGTTTTTTGTTAGTAACTTTTGTTAAGACTACTTGGCAGTAGTGACGTATCGTTATCTTCTTTTGTACTCTTAGAGACATAAAGAGGACTGAGCAAGGCTTATTTGACAAAATTTTGATTAGAATGCTATAGGCTAAGAAAGAATGTTTAATGGTTGTTCGGGTGTTCAGAATGTTTATTCAATTAAGATACTGAAGTAGTCACTAACATCTGCGACCCTTTTGTTGATAACGAACTTTACTGGTGAATAAGGTCTTATTTCATCTGTCTTGTTCAGCAGAAAAATCGTTTGGGCAACGATAAAATTGATGAAATGATACGCGATATGGAATGGAAGATGAAAACAGGATTCAATACTGACAACGAAAGTTAGTTTTTTTTTTTTCTCTTTTTTTCTGTTCTACCTATAGTGTTCTCTTTTTTTTCTATTTTTAACTCCAGTTTGAAGCAACGGAGATGGAAGGTTTCCTAAGACAGTCAGGTATTTTTGAGTAAAAAGAAAGAGTAGTTTGCTTATTTAATACCTCCAAGTTTAAAGAAATTTTAGCAATAACTTTCTGCTGTGATGACTAGCACATTGTTAACCATCTATCCTTTTCGTTAACAGTAACATTTTTCCAGTTTAGTAGAATCCATCCTTACTTGCTACTAACAGTTTTCTAGCAAATTTAGTTTTTAAGATCGCAAACGATTCAAAGAAGGAGTAAGTAATTCTTGAGGAAACATTTCTGAGGTTTTACAAGTAATCCATTCTACCGTTTGATTTATGAGCAGTCCAAACTACATGACTCTTAAAAAATGTGTAACTCCTGCTATGAAGTGTAGGTTTTTAAGGATAATCTTGTAGGAAAGGTCGCAAAAAATAAAAACAGTAAGATGATTAGTTTGAAAACCAAAATTGCTTCTGAAACTCTTCAAGTGTATTATTTTTTGCTACCTGCTGTCTTTGGTTATACTCGATATTGTTTTCTTCATTGCTGGTGGTTAGCGCAGAAGATTTTGAATACCCGTGGTAAAAGCATTTTTACTTTTTGAAACTTATATTTCGTTTTAAAAAAAGACGAAAAAATTTCTTAAAATATGTCAAACAGTTTGGTAGTGAAGTCATTTTTATTAAACAGTAATCAGAGCAATAAGATTAGAGCAACTACATGAATAATTTAAGGAAAGTCGAGAAGCCTTCCAGAACATTAATTTTTTTGCTACTCACACCAGAATCTACATTCTTTAGGCACTAAATGTTTTTTTCTTGTCCAGGCAGCAATCAACTTTTTTTTTGCCTTTCGCAGGATGACTCTTTTTCTTTGTTATTTTTGGGTTTTTTTAGTCCGTCAATAAGCAAAAAAAACTGCTAGGCTGTTAATATTTTCAACGAACATTAATCTTTAACGCACCTTAATTTTTTGGTGCCACCGAAAAAACTGCTTCAAACTGACCGCTGTTTGTCAAGCGAATGCTTTTCTTTGTCTTTCTGAAGGTTCCGATGCACGACTGTATCACGTCGTTGTATGACTAAAAATACCATCACCGCCGTAAAAAAAAAAAAAAAAAAAAGGAAACTGGAAATCGATTTGAACTTATTGCGGTTGGGTTGTAGCTGCCAATTTTTTTTGTAAAAAAAACGATTTCTTTTTTTTTTTTTGTTTTTGTCAGAAAAATTCAAGAATTTTCTCTCGTTCATTACCAAGTAAAACTTGTGTTTCTTTCAAAAAGGGTGAGTCAGTGGAAAGAGATTTTTAAAATACACAGAATACTGAGCATTTTTCTAGGTGGTTAACAACATAGAAAAAACAGTCATGCGTTTTTCTCATCTAAATGCGTTGCTTTACCTTTCCTCTCTTTCTACGTCTGTGCTTTCACAGATTTTTTGTTTCAGTAATCATCTTCTATTGCAGCGTTCAGTAACAGATTAGCTGTTGAAAGTTATCGTTTCTTGTTTAGGTGAGCAGTGTCTTTCAGACTTCTATCGAATTCGTAAGCAAACCGTGTACCACAAAGCATCTACCATTTGAAACAACAGTTTTGTCAGTCATTTTTATCGCTCTCTCTTGACCACTTTTTTCTCAAAAATTTTATTGATAGTTCACAACTAAGGGTTAGGAATCTTTATACTTAGTCGCACAGCTGCTCACTCAGTAAATTCATAGCTCCAGAACAACAGTGTAGCGGTGGTGATGTTTATTGAAATGTTGTTGTTCTTCAAACAATTATCATTAGAGTCCGCCTGCTTGACCCGACAAAGGAAAAGATGAGCAATAACATCAACAGCAAGAGTGAAATAAGTTTGAAATCTTTCTTGCACACTCAAATCCTGAATTCTCCCAAATTTTTTGTCAATTTTTATGCCTCTGACTTCCTGTAGCTTTGCATATGAAATTTTTTCAATTTATTCAATAGTGTTAAACTTTGTTTATCTGAGTGCAACGTTAGAGAAAAAACAAAAAAAAGTTTTTCCTGTCTTCCCTGTTCTTATTTATTTTTGAAGCAGAAATGAATAACAACAGTAGGCAAGTAGGAACAGAAGGCGAAAGACGATTTGGAAAAAATTTTTAGAAACGATAAAAAGAATTTGAAAAAGAAAAAATAAATAGAAATAAAAAAAAATTTTTTTGGATAGAATCAAGATCTGTGTGTGTGTGTGTGTGTGTGTGTGTGTGTGTGTGTGGTGGTGTGTTAGTGTGTGTGTCGGTGTTTATGTGTGTTAGACGTGGAAACAGTGAGTAAAAAGTATTTAGCTGCTTAATGTTTAGCAGCTAGTTTTTTTTTTTTTT